ACATACATACATACATACATACATACATACATACATACATACATACATACATACATACATACATACATACTCCACACCATCTCTGGGTGGCTAACAACAATATAAGCAGCAATATTAAAACACGATAAAAAATAAAATAATTACATACTAGATTGTCACCCAACACTTCCACTTAGTACCGACATCACTCCAGAGCATGTACTGCCCTTTTTGAGCACCTTAAAATTCTTTTACTTTGATATGATTTAATTATTATGGCAATCTGACCTCCTATATATACCCTTTGCTCTATGGGTTGAATGAGGCCATTTTGCTTTAGCTTCTTGTATTTTTTTGGAATAGCTGAGAGAAGAATGGAATCTGAATGAAGGGAGGAATCCCTTTCTCCCTGGAAAACATGGATGAAGAAGAAACACAAAGATAAACTAGCAAGAAGAGTAAGAGAAGTTTGTCTTCTCTATCCTTCAGTACTCATATGGAGTGGCAAAGGCTGTACTGGAGCACTTCCTCAGGCCATTAAAGTTATGTGCAAGGGAGAGTCAAATAATACTTCATAACCTCCATCACATCCCTGTTGACAAACACCCTCCACCTTATATGTTTGATTATGTGTGAAGCAGAGAGCATGATGCTTCTCTGAAGGCTCTCTTGAGTCTATGGCCCTGTTCTGCCTGTTCCCACAATTCTGATCATGTAAACATTGAGCACTCAGATAAGGCTAATATCTAACTACTAACTGTGGTCTGAATTTGGTTTAATTTCATGGATACTTAAAACCGTTTTTAAGTCAGTGTTCTGTGTCACCTGGTTGCATTTGATCAATATGTGTGATGGAATTGTATTTAGTACAGTCGAAATTATATTCTTCACATTAGTGGTGTTTTAAAGCAATATGGTGTGATTTGAAAAAGAGAAAAAGATGTGTAAATACATAACGTTTTTCATATTAGAAAAGCATGAAAGCATAAACAAGACAGTACACATAAAAGTGTTACTTCTGTGATACACAGAATGAACCCATTGCAATCATTTTATATTGCAGTTATGAAAACAAAACTCTTTGTATCATAAATGTGTAATAACTAATATATTCTACAGGAAGATGAAAAGTTTTTGTCTGAAGTTTTTGCACAACTAACAGATGAAGCTACTGATGATGACAAAAGGCGTGAACTGGTAAGCCTGGTTTGGATTACTTTCACTTGTGAAGATGTTATTGCCATCACAGTTCCAGTCCTGTAAGATTTTTCTTGATAACAGCAGTTTCAAGGGGCTTGCTAAAGAGGACCATTTATCCAGTTTAACTGAAATATTTGAGCACATATGGAAGTTTGTACTGCAGTTAATACAAAGTAGAGAACAGCAAGAGAATACAGTGGCCAAAATCCTCTTGCAGAACTATGCAAATAGCGTAACATTTGAAGGCAAATTAAGAAATCATCATAGACAGCAGTTATATGCACAACGCAGTGTGTAACATTTGAAGGCAAGTTAAGAAATCATCATAGACAGAAGTTGTATGGACAACGCAGTATACAATAGATAATGACTGGCTTCAGTGCTTCCTTAGCTTAATGCAGTTTGTCTCCAAAAGTTGCACTTTTTGTATTGTGCCAGCATAATTAAGCAAAAGGACCGAGCCAGTAAAAGAAACTTTGCTTCTGTGTTCATGAAGAAATGGATTGTAATCCATGAAAGCGTCTATTGACATAATTCTGTTAAAGTTACAACAAGACCCTTATGTTGTTTTATACGCTTACACATAAATTGTTCAGAAACACATCTAAGATTTTTACAAACACATTAAAATATTAATCAGAACTGTTTAGAAGCATGGGTATTATATATGTGTGCACGTCACAGGTTCAGGTTCGGTAGCGTTTCCTATCAGTTCACATTCAATAGCAGACTCAGATTTCCTGGCATGTAATCTGTGGAATCACCACAGTCATCACTGTTTATGTGTGTCTCCACAATGCAGCCATGGGATCCCGGACAAGTTGCCAACATGGGACTCCAGCTGTTGGATTATTATTTGTTTATTATGTTTTTGTGATTGTTGTGATTTATATCTGGAAATGTGAGTGCATGTTACTCATGGGAAAAGAAGCTGAGGAACCCCCGAGATTGCGCTTTAGAAACTTCGTATCTCACATCCTTTATGTCATTATTTGGTGACCCTTTCATTTTGAGGCTGAATCTTAGTATAATAGACATAATCCAGGCATATGATACAGATTAATTCCTGGATTGTGTCTGTTCTTCCAAGACACATTTATTTTGAGTCTTGGAATAATAGGCACAATCCAGGCATCAATCTGTATCATAGCAAGCAGCAGGATTCTCTGTTCCAGTGCCTTTTCTGGACATTTTTTCCTTTTTAAAAAGTGCGGAACTCCCATCCATGTATCAGTGCACAAATAACTTTGCTATAATTTTAACTTGTCAAGACTTGAATATTTCAAAAAGTTGAAACACATAGATGAACCACATTTTCATGTGCTGTGTGGGTATTGCAAGATTAAGAACATAAAGGCTTAATTCATTAGATAAGCTATGTTTATTCAATAGTGCTTGACAGCAATTCATCCGAGGTCTTTCTCTGTTCAAAGGTGTTTGGGGAAGAGTTGATTAATAGAGACAGGATTTTGGAAGTTGCTTTAAACAGAACTACCTGACATGTACATTAAGCCCTGATTTTTGAAACCTTTATGTTTCCTCTGCATCATCCCTAGTTCTATGATGCCCAACCTTATGAAGACTTCTGTGGGAATTGAAAGCTACCTTATGTTTGTGATATTTTAGTGGTCTAATAAAAGGTATCAGACACCCTTATTTTCAGAGATAGAATAATGAAACTTCTAGTTTGATGCTTTTGCTGCTTATATTGCCTCTGCAAGGTATATTCTTCGTATTGAGTAAATTGAGCATTAGAGTGCTAATGTTCACATACTAGCAGTGTATTGGTATTCTATTAATTTTGTTCTCTTAATACTGTACTTCTTTATATCCTGCAGGTTAACTTCTTCAAGGAGTTCTGTGCATTTTCTCAGACATTGCAGCCTCAGAACAGAGATACTTTTTTCAAAACTTTGGCAAAATTAGGAATTCTTCCTGCTCTTGAAATAGTAATGGTAAGTTGAAAGTGATGCTTCCATTATGTCCGTAATTTGTTTTAATATTTTTGAATATTCGTGAAGATCTCAGAACTTTTCTGGACTTTTGATATTAACATTGCTCCTTAATATTTGGGAAACATTTGAGAAAGATACATATTAAACACAATTCACATACGTAATGTACATTGTTAAAGCTCATTTAAATCTACAGAGGCATGTAGGTACTCTTAAGATGTTTTTCTCATTCTGGAATCACTGAACCTTTGCCTAAGTTTAACAAGTATGTGGCATGTGTATATGTAAAACTAAGGTTCCATGTTAACTTTAAATACCTTGACTTATGTAGGAATCCATTCTTCAAAAAGCTGCCATTTTATCAATATGGGATATTGTGTTTCTGTATCCACAATTCAAAATACCGGGAAATGACCTGACATTGCTGCACAATATTGTGCCTGCGTTGCCAGCAGGAAAAAAGGATGCCAAGTTTTGCATAGCAAGGAGCAGCTTGAATGTTGACAACACCAATGGCAGCAGTCAAGATGATCTACAGGATGACCTCTCGTGCTCACAACAATTCACAAAGCAAGGGAAAATTCCAGAAGCTGACTCCATAAATTAGCCACTTCTCACTCAAACACAAAGTAATTGTCAGGAATGTTTTTCAACAAGTATCTAAGGTTCATAAGAATAGATGTCATAAATGTCATTTCAACATCATCAAGTATCTAAGGTTCATAATAGATGTCATAAATGTCATTTCAACATTTAAAAAAAAACTTGACTGAATTTTAATTTGCTTTTATTTTAGGGTATGGATGATTTGCAAGTTAGATCAGCTGCTACAGATATATTTTCTTATCTGGTAGAATTCAGTCCATCCATGGTCCGGGAATTTGTTATGCAAGAAGCCCAGCAGAGTGATGATGTAAGAAGGATGCAGCATAATTATATGATATGTTCCATGTATAAAAATATTAGCCCTTCTGAATACCAGTGTGTTTATCCTCAAGCCAAAATACTAGTTTCTCACAGCGTTATGAGAACATCAATTCCTTCACTTTATAGTTCCAACAGCAAAAAAGTCTAGATATATTTTCGCGAAGGTTTTCACGGCCGGGATCTAATGGTTGTTGTGGACAGCACTGTCCTCTGAAGATGCCGGACACAGAGACTGGCGAAACGTTAGGAAGAACAACCTTCAGAACACTGCCAAAGAGCCCGAAAAACCCACAACAACCTCTAGATATATTAATAGCCAGATTGCAGTATTATATCACAGATGATGCTAAACGATGATATAGTGCTACATGAACAATTCCAAGCAAAGCATTGATCTTCTCTTCCTTCTTCTCTCACATAGCTAGCAAGGATGGCTTTGGCAGAGTTTAGTTTCAAACTTGGAAGGATCCCCCCCCCCCCCCCCGAGTCTTGGTGTATGACATGTGTCAGGTGTTAAAGGAAGGCATCTTCAACCTATGCAAAACTGGCTTGTTTTGTCCTAGGTTGCTTGATTCAAATGTAACACTGAGTTGGATTTGTTTAAAAGTGAAACTAAACATAGCCAAAGTTATCTTCATGACCATGACGTGATAGTGGAGGAGGAGTAAGCAATCACAATACTTTGCTTCATCTCATTCAGCCTTTTCTGTTGTTGTTTGCTACTTTTAAATGTGTTTTTTTAAATATTAGTTTTCATTTACCATTTTAATATAATAGTTGTTTAATTCTTATTAATATTTATATGGAGTTTGGTGTCACCAATATGCAGATGACACCCGATTCTATCTCTCTTTTCCATCAAAATCAAAGGAAGCTGTTTTCGCTTCTAGGTCAGTGACTGGTGCCAGCAATGGACTGATGAGGGTGAATAAATTGAAACTTAATCCAGAAAAGACAGAGGTGCTCCTGGTCAAGCGAAAGGCAGATCAAGGAATAGGGATTCAGCCTGTGCAGCCTCCCTCTGAAAATACAGAGGTGCAGCTCTGGGGTGGTCCTGGATTCATATCTGAGTTTGGGTGGCCATGTGTGCATTTGCACAGTTAAAACTAGTGCACCAGCTGTACCCATTCCTAGAGGGGTGTGATCTGATCATGGTGACATATTCCTTAGTTACATCCAGGCTGGATTACTGTCATGCGTGTGGGGAAATGTTCTGAAACTTCAGTGGGTTTTTGAAATGGATTTTTGTGCCTTCTGTATGGGAGGACATGGGGAGGAGGGGCTGGCAGCATTAAGAGGTCTGTAGCTTCATTTCTGTGACTTGTGTCTACCTTGGTTTGCAATTATGAATTCTGGCCTGAAAATTGGGTCTAAAAGAGAGGTCGTAGAAGGATTCTTGTCTTTGGTGGAATTGCAGCCAAGGAAGATAATTCTGAAGTGTATACTAGAATCGGGAAAGCCAGACAGCTAATGCTGATGAAGGTCCAAGCAAGTGTGTGAGGACTGGGAGTCCAGAGCTTGTGCCAAGAATATGAATGGCAGTGTTTGCCTGTGATAAAGAGGCTGTTTATTTATTATTTATTTACTTAATTTATATACAGTGGTGCCTCGCTTAATGGGCGCCGCATTTAACGACGAAATCGCATAGCGATTAACTTTTTGCAATCGCTTTTGCAATCACTTTGCAATGTTCCCTATGGGGAAAAATCTCTTTGCGATGATCGGTACCCTGTTTTGCTTACCAATCATCGCAAAGCAATGATTTTTTAACAGCTGATCGGCGGGTTAAAAAAATGGCTGCCCTCTGTTTTCTGGGACGGATTCCTCGCTTACCGGGCAGCAAAAATGGCCGCCGTATTGAGGATTGTCGCTTTAAGGTGAGTCTGAAGCCCAGAGGAACGCATTGAAGGGGTTTCAATGCATTCCTAGGGGCTTTTTAATATCGCATGGCGACGAAATCACTTTGCAGCGATTTTTGCTGCACCGATTATCGTCGCTATGCGAGGCACCAGTGTACTGCATGTCTGGTTTTAAAGGCCACTCTGGGCGGTTTACGACAAAAGCAAAACGAACAATAATCAACAGTTACAATTAGACTGCAAAAAATTATATCAACGTGCACCTCAATTAATGTAAGAAATATACATAAACAAAACATAACTTAAAATGCAAGACATGCCTCCTCACCTGTTTTGCTTCATAAATGGGCTTGCCAGAGTGGATCTCTTGTGTGCAGAAGTTGCGGGCGGGGGGAGGAGGACACAGTGCCATGATCTACTCTTAGTAAACTACTGAAAGGTTTTAATTTGTCTTGGTTTGTTACAGGATATCCTCCTCATAAACGTAGTTATTGAGCAAATGATATGCGACACTGACCCCGAGCTTGGGGGTGCTGTTCAGTTAATGGGACTCTTGCGTACTCTAATTGATCCTGAGAACATGTTGGCCACAGCTAATGTAAGAAAATGGAAAGGGGTAAAGAAACTTTACTGTCTAAAAAACATGTTGAATATGACCTCCTTTGCTTTCCGCACTCATTCTCTTCCCTCTCCTATTCATAAACTGCACAGTGACCTTGCAGCTCTGGCAGATACACTTTGAAGCATGGCTTTTCCGCTCTTTAAACAGCATATCTACCATTGAGTTTGAGTGGTAGTTTTAGTTTTCAGACATGTCTCCTGTAGCATGGTGGTTGTTTTTCCGTAGTCTGTATGTACCCCTTCTCAGCTGCATGGGCCTCCATTCCATTTTTTTCTTGAGTTCCAAATACAGTAGTACCTCGGTGTGCAAAACGGATCCATTCTATGTGATGTTACATAGTACGGAAATTTCGCAAACCAAAATGCCAATTGCACTACGAAAGGGGCTGCACTATAGGCGCAGTGCACCCTGGGAAAACCCTTTCATAGTGCGGGGGGGGGGAAGAAAACGTAAACTGGGGCTCTGTTTCTTATGGATGTTGGTTCGTAAACCGAAAATTACGTAAACTGATACATTGACAAAGTGAGGTATTACTGTATCACATACTAGCAGAAGTGTTACAGATGCTTGATTGCTGTGTTTGGTGGCCAAGATGGGCATGTGGCTGTTATCCGCCCTTTGATCAAACAATGAACTTTGCTCCAATGATTGCTGCTGAGAAGATTGAAAAGGCATCAACTACACTATATATACATGTATATGGGCATGGGTAATACGGTTGCCTAAAACTTAACATGTTGCATTCTAGTGCTGCACAGTAGAGAGCATGGGATTTTATCTTAAAAGGGTCAAGTTCATGTTTTCACATGAAATGTAGAGGTTAATAGCTAAACATGTTGTTGTCTTTAAGCTTGGTGCCTGAAAATATAGGTAAAGGTAAAGGTTCCCCTTGACATTTAATCCAGTCGTGTCAGACTCTAGGGTGCGGTGCTCATCCCCGTTTCCAAGCCATAGAGCCAGTGTTTGTCCGAAGACAGTTTCCGTGGTCACGTGATCAGCGTGATTAGACACGGAATGCCATTACCTTCCCACCAAGGTGGTACCTATTTATCTACTTGCATTTTTACATGCTTTCGAACTGCTAGGTTGGCAGGAGCTGGGACAAGCAACGGGAGCTCGCTCAGTTGTGTGAATTCGATCTTACGACTGCTGGTCTTCCGACCTTGCAGCACAGAGGCTTCTGCTGTTTAACTAGCAGCGCCACAACGTCCCATTTTGCCTGAAAATATAGTTAAGCCATAATGTTAAAATACATGATGCCTTTTTATTTCATGATGTGTGATTGTCAAGAGAGAATAAAAATAAAAATGGTTCTCCGTCAGCAACGTCCATGTATAGTAAACGTATTTGTAACTGTTTAAAAATACTTAGTTGTATCAGTGTTCACTGCATATGTAGATTTGGTGACATTGAACATAAAAAAGTGAACAGTGGCCCATACAGAGGGACGTCCCCTTCTCTTCTGCCCCATACCCTGCTTAGCTGCATGGGAATTGTGGGGCAATGACATCCAATCTTTTGGTGGACAGACACCTGTAGACTTCCTTTTCTCAAGTCATCTAACAGCACATTTGAAACCCACTAGCAGTAAAACAGTTTTTAATGGGAAATGAAAAACACAACTCAGTTTAGTAGCAGTCATATATCAAGAGCCATTTAATTAAATCTTGCAGCTATGGAAAGCTGGAGTCATCAACCAGTTGAGAAAATTAAAAATCTGTTATACTGAGAAGGCAACCATTTGCATTCTATGCAAACAGATAAGGGAGGGAGTCTCGATAACTGAGGCACCACTATTAAGAAGGCAGCTTCTGATTCTAGGCTGCCATGCCTGGGCAACCTGATTTTAACCAAAGAGGAATGTGGTGCCTTTCAGCTCTTCATGCGTCATCATTGGTTTCTTTTGTTTGCTTCATTTGTGAGCTGCATGACTTTGTACGCTCTTATACTAGTTGCTAATATACTTAGTATTTTGTGTTTCAGAAAACTGAGAAAAGTGAATTTCTCAATTTTTTCTACAACCATTGTATGCATGTCCTTACTGCTCCGCTTCTGGCAAATACATCAGAGGACAAAAATGACAAAGGTAAGATCAGACGTTAGGTTGGCTTTTCTGCTTTATTCCCTTTATTCACCTCCCATAGTAAACATGCCTGATGGTGTTCTATGAAGTTTGCAAGAGGACTTATGTTTTGATGAATTCTGTGAATCAGTTAATCTGTGTCAAGGCAATGCATGTTTTTATATCCTAGTTACATAAACATGGATTGTTTTCTCATTTGCAGAAGTTTCATGGAAGAAAATTACAGCTTTGTTAATGTTGTGGTTCTACTCTGAGCTTGAAAGGGCTACGTTTCGAAACAACAGTCCCAGAAGGCCCACTCTTGCCAACCTCCTTGGTCACTAGTCATGCTGGCTAGGGGATTCTGGGAGTTTTCATTAAAACAGCTGTTTTAAACTCTGGCATAGGAGTAGGCCTCCGATACTAAGAGTTGGTGCCTTTTCCAAGGTAGTCTAGCTCAAATGCAATTCTATCGTAATGGCTCAATTTAGGCATAAATTAGGCTTAGGCCTGGGAGTTCTCCCTTTCCCTCCTGGGGTCCAAGAGGATGACAGGATTCCAGTTTTGAATCAATCACCTTCCTTTGACACGTGCAATCTGAGAAGGGTTGCAACGTGAGAATGAGGCAAGGTCTGCCACCATGCTGTGACCCTGGTTTTTGTTTCATAATTTTGTTTTTGGAAAAAAAAATCTTGTTCTTTGAGAATTTGAAAGCTTTTTTTTTTTAACCTGAAACAGAATAGAGAGACGTCTTTTAGATTTGTAACATTTGCAGACCTATCCATGACCATGGGGCCAATTTGTGCAGCTGTTTTTGTTAGGCAACCACTTTTTACTGCCTGTACCCATTTGCTGACTTAATCCTGGTGGTGTGACCTGGAGTTACAGACAAGAATGGCGGGGCTTCTGACACTGTGTTTCTGGTACCTATGTGGGTTGAAGAGTTGTTCTGCCCTGAAATATATTGTATATCTAATGTTCTGAAATGTCTTATGTTTGCCACAGTAATTCACCTATGCTATAAAATCTTTTCCATTTTTCTAAGATGCGGTAATTGGAAGCAACAAAACTAATACGATTTGCCCAGGTATGTGGGAGTTTTTGTTATCTTTTCTGAAAATCTTACTTAAAGATTTTGCTTTATCCAAGTCCAGGGTAAGGGGTAGAGGGCAGAGAGAGGATGACCATGCATTCATGCAAAGCACTGTGAACTGGAGTGATGTAATTTATCCAGCGTTTATACTTGATGGGTTTGGGGAAGACTTTTAAGGCAGACACAGCTTCATTATTACAAAAAACTAACACCCTTTTATTATTTGCACAAGACAACTTTCCTGGTGGTTTAGTTTTCAATCTTGGAGCCCATACCAGTGTGTTTATGTGTGCGTCTATGGTAGCTGCATCCGTCTGTGTAAACGTTACAGGTAAAAGCAAAAAATAAAAGAACAAATTTAAAAAAGACAAAAACATGGTGACACCTTGAAAACTGTTATATTTTAATGTGAGATTCCTAACATAGCAACATTTATATTTTAATGTGAGCCACGAAAGCTATAACATAATATGTATATTATATACATATAATATGTAATAGTTAGTCTTTAAGATAAAGTTTTTTGTGGTTGTTGTGAGTTTTTCGGGCTCTTTGGCCGTGTTCTGAAAGTTGTTCTTCCTAACGTTTCGCCAGACTCTGTGGCCAGCATCTTCAGAGGACAGCACGCTGATTTTTGTCTTTGTGTAATTTGTTTTATTTTTATTTTGCTTTTATCATCTTTGTATATGGTTTATGGTACACAATGATAATCTGTTTCATACATCTTTAATGGGAAACGCCGTGGTCATTGTAGTTTGGTAAGATGCTAAGAATTTTCACCTAGAGATGATAGATGTTATCCTCAGAACCACAGCTCCCAAGATACCCTTGGAATAAGCAATAACTGTTAAAACAAAATCAAATTTGTGATTTAAATGTGACAAGTAGAGCACTTCATTCTGCGAAGCTACTTCAGCTTGACTGATGCAGGCTGTATGGAAAAGCAGGATCCTGTTCTTCCCAGGTGTGAGGTCACGACAAGCACAAGAGTGAAATATCCAGCCAGAATTGCTTACTACAAAAAAATATAGGGGTAGGTGCCTGGCTAAAAGAGTGCACAAGAGTCTGTGTCAGGTAGCAAGTCGCATCCCCTTGGTAGTACCGTGCTGCTTTAAGGAAATAAACTGATGGGAAGGGACAATGTCAATTTATTCAAATAGTTCTTAAAATCAGAATGCCTCCAGAATTGGGTTAGTATTTTTAAAAAACCAAATTATTCCAGATTCAGTGTATGAAATAGTTATTTGGTGAATCAAATCAAGAAAATGGTGACTTGATAGTATTTCTGTGATACTCTTTTCATGTGGCTGAAGTTACAGGGCTTGACTTTCATACTCTGAAGAAATCACATCAACTCCTTCCATTTCCTGAAGCATTCAGGGCACCACTGACCCACCGCAAAACACTGGAGAGTCAGGTCTTGAGTTCGGCACAGCCAGGCTACTTTCAGACATCAGATTCACTCATCTTTTGATTGGATCAGTTCGGACTGAGTCCATCTCAACCCAGTACATATTTGTATGTTGCTCCTTCACATGTCTTCCTAATCTTCCGTGGTGTGGAGGATAAAAGAATATGATGTCAACTCTTAAAGAATGACCCAGAATTAGCCAGCCTGTTGATCCACACAGCCCTTTCCCAATGTTATTTCCATTCACTTAGATGCAAATAAGAGCTTCTTACCCAGAGGTTCCAGCAGACCTTTCAGATTTTTCCCTGTGTTTTTACTTGCTTTCAGAAAAAAATGAGGGCTTCTCTTATTACGGCAAGTTTCATTGGGATATAGCCTGTTGCAGCAAAAAACAATGGGTTGTGTAGCGCCATAAAGACTAATACATTTTATTTGCCACAATATTTCACGGACTGTGGCCCATTTCTTCAGTTGCATCTGAAAAAGGCACATCCAAAAAAACCTCTGCTAAATAAAACTGTTTAGTCTTCAAGGCGCCAAAGGCCTCTGTAGAATTATGGTGGATTTGTGCTCATTTTTATGAGGTTTTTAGTGATGCTAGCAAATGCACTGAAATAGCTAAAAATGTTGATCGGCTAGAATCCTTGAATCGTGCCTTATGAACCTTTGAGGCAAAGACTTCTGCATGGTTCTCGGTGTTCACCTTACTAGACAGGATATCGAGTCTGAATAGAGTCGTATTGTTAAAGCAGAAGGTGAGAAACAGAAAAGCCACCTAATGCTAGAGGCTACATTCTTTGGTAAAGACAGAAAAGTCTTTCTTACTGTAAAATTGTGTTTGTGCATAGCCAGGTATCGCTATCCCTGGAGCATTCTCATGGAGTCTTCATACCTAACAGTTTTTGGTTTATTTTTCAGATAACTATCAAACAGCACAGCTGCTTGCCTTAATTTTGGAGCTGCTCACTTTTTGTGTGGAACACCACACATACCACATCAAGAATTATATTATGAACAAGGATTTGCTGAGAAGGGTTCTGGTCTTGATGAATTCCAAGCACACCTTTTTGGCCCTATGTAAGTAACAAGTCAGATGTCTTAGAGATATAAGTAGCTGCTTTCTGCAGAGGGTTGATGTCATCATCTAGAAACAAGCAAAGGACAGATAAAGTAGAGATAATTATATATACAGAGGGTATTGCAGGAGCACAGAAAATTCTCGGAATGTGGTATCTGGTAGTTCCTGAGAGTGGCTGTGCCTCCTTTTTAAGTGTAATTCTATACCAACTTTCCCACTGCCAGAACCTGTCGTTGGTAGTAGGCACTGAGGCTTACAGGAATTAAAATCCAAAATATCTGAAGGACACCAAGTTGGAGAAGACCAATTTATAATGAATGTCAAAAGCCTGTGACCAATGTCAGGTCATACCTTTGGATCCACAGAGAAAGTGCTGAACAAGATTCTCAGTAGTCATGATCACCAGAAGTAGGATAAACGTATGCAAAATGAAATGACTGTTTCAATATGCATAATTTAGACATGTCATAATTTAGCATTTCTTCTTGCAGAATCTGAAATCATTGGTAGAATGTTCCTTTCAAATTCAAGGTGTGCACACACACCAGATACTCCACTATTCGGTGTGCTGTGATAGTTTCAAATGAGTTTCATGACAGTTCTTGATCCCAAGATGAATTCCTGTCCTGCTTTGAAATAAAACCCTTGTTGTAAAGCATGCCCTGACAAGACTGAGTACTTCTTTTTTTGTGCATTGGTTCAGCAAAACTCTTAACTCTAGTTTTGCCACTGCAAGGCCCATCAGTAGTCAGCTTCTTGGGTGAAAAGAATTCCCTTTCTCCGCTCTGCAAAGCCTGGGCTTTCGTGGAGAATGTGTCAGTTCCCTTGGCCATTGAAACCGGTATGCTAGCAACGGGTGCTATTGGTCAGCTCTTCTGTGTTTCAGCCTGTCTTCTACAATACATGTTGCTGATAGGGATGGGAAACTTTGGCTTGTGAATGTCCCCTTGGTTGCACTGCTTACTAGTATACCGGTTTCAATGGCCAAGGGAACTGACACATGGAAACAGTAGTCTTGCTACTGATTCAAGTCCATGGGGGAAGTTTCTCAATTAACTACCCTTCCCATGGGGCAGTGAGACGATTCCCAGCAAGCCGTGCTACTGAGGGCCATTCCCTTTTGCTTCCCAGCCAGCGCATGTGTAGTGAAGCTGATAATGGCGGCGAGAAGAGTTCTCTATTGCCTTTTTCTTTCCCCTCTCTTAGTCCCAGAAGTTTCCCTGGGGAATTCTGGACGACATCTGGGGCTTGTAAGCCTTATGATTATGAGAATTCTGTATCTGGTTTCCGATGCTTCTGCACAGTAACTGCAAAATACTGGGTTTGCAAATTGCATTTGGACTTAACAGCCAACAGATGTTTCTATTGTAAGTGGATGTATACCCAACAGGGCCTCTGAACATATACGATTAATCTGGAATGGATTAACGTCACTATGCAGGGCACCACTGTATTCAGTGAGCAAGTGGAGCCTGCTCCCTTCATACAAAGAATTGCAGAACAGCATTGTTGCCCCATTGTCCATGCATATCTCTTTCTGGAAGTTCAACACAGCTTCTGTCTCCATCCTGTGTCTACCTAGATTGAGCTGCTGCATAGCTCAGTGATTAAAGTATCTGCCTGTAGAGCCAGAGCTTGGGAGTTCAATTCCCACTAGGCCACCTTGACAGGGCTTGACTCAGTGATCCATAAGGTCCCTTCCAGCTCTACAGTTCTAAGAGGAGGAGGAGGAGATCCCAAGCTTTATGTTATGCCAGAATAGAGTTCAGGAGGAATCCAACTTTTCCAGTGGCAAACATAATTGTCCTTCATGGAGAAAGATTTTCCTACCAGCTTCTCTTCTTCGCAAACTAGACTTTTAGGCAAATCCTTTTTACCTTAGTGAACATATGAGTGAATCACTGGCTAAATGTACTGTATTTTGTGCTACCCATGAAATCAGAAATTTTCAGATCGTGTAAATGATCGCATGCCAGTGATGTGGGAAGAAATTGCTAAACATGAGCTTTGGAATAGAGAAAGGAACACTCTTAAAATGCTTATTAACTTTGTAGGTGCTCTTCGTTTCATGAGGAGGATAATTGGCCTGAAAGATGAATTTTATAACCGTTACATCACCAAAGGAAACCTCTTTGAGCCAGTCATAAATGCTCTTCTGGATAATGGAACTAGGTACAATCTCCTGAATTCAGCAGTGATTGAACTTTTTGAATTCATTCGAGTGGTAAGTTTTTTGGTGGTGAATGGGTTGGACATTCCAAAATAATTCTTTTAGAAGGAGCATGCCTGTAAATGAAGTGTGAACGCAAGATTTGGATCATATTATCTTGATGTTGGGAAATGGGCTCTAGTTTATCATGCTTTACTAAAATAAAATTTGGCAGAATGCACTCCTGTTCTCACTTACCAGGGAGTAAACACAGTTGTTTTGCTGATTGTGCTTCTTTCCTTGGTATTCGTTTTCTCTTGTTACGCTTTTAAACATGTCTTAAAACTGTTTTGATTCAGTGCTTTGCTTACTAACACAACTTATCTAATCATTTAATAGCTTTTTTGTAAGGGCAAGGGTTGGGATGCTCAAGTTCAAGGAAGAAGTTGTGATCGTGTTGGTTTTACAAGTCCGGAGTGGACTGCAATTGCAGACGGTGGATCTCTGGTGTAAATATTCTCAGATTTCTCCCCTACGTTGGGTAGCACCCACGTGTGTGTGGATACATCCACCAGAATGCCCTTATATGCACAGGCTAGAGGTGGTGTCATTCTTTTTTGAGGGGTAGAGTGGGACTTCACATCCCAGAACTCCCAGGAATTCATCAGGCAGAATTTTGGGAGTTTCAGCCCACAAATGCATATATGCAGATACCTTCATTGCAATCACCTGGATAAAGCTGTTACCCTGTTCTTCAAGGAAGCTGTTACTTCAGGAAAATATTTCTGATTAAACAAGTAAAAACATTTGAAGCTTAAATTGTTTCATCTTTTTTTCTTATTGTAGATTCTAGTGGGAAGATAATAAGTTGTTTGTTGTACTAAGAGTTGCATTGCTATTTCTCGTCTTCTCCAGGTAGATAATGTTAAACTTTGTTTTGCCTTAATACAGGAAGATATCAAATCTCTTACTGCACATATAGTTGAAAATTTTTATAAGGCGCTTGAATCCATTGAGTATGTTCAGACATTCAAAGGATTGAAGACGAAATATGAACAGGAGAAAGACAGACAAAGCCAGAAGCTGAACAGGTATCCATATTGAGACAAAAACACCTTGAATGCCTATCATGTGGACTTCCTGAAATATTGCTGTTCTGTTAATAATGCTGTTACATTCACATTTTCTCTTGCAAAGATTGTTTGGAACGTAACAGTAGGTTTTTATTTGCTCGCACAATTCTGTGTTTAATCAGCTTCTGTCTCCAGTACATCCATCAGATTGTGGAACCTTTGTATTTTGTTTCTTGATTTGTTTCAAAAATCGTGTTCCTAAAGAGAGGTGAAGAAACTAGATTTATGCTGCAATTACTGGGAAGGATTTCTTTGTCCTAGTTAACCTAAGAAGTCCTTCTAGTACGACTTCCAACTGCCCCCTTAGTGCTAGCTAAGGGCAGCATACAGGTCATGTAATATTTGGGGGGGTTGAAGAAGGGCCCCATGTTTCCTCATGAGCATGTTGGAATTTTGTCAAGGGGAACAGAGTCTTATTTCAGCCCACAATTACCTGGTCAAAGATGCCCAGGTGTCTTGGAATACCTAGGAGGTCCTCGCTATGCCTGTGGCCCATCCTCTGTGTAGAGGTTCATGCCTCCATGCATTGTTATAACTTCCGTTTTGCAGAAGAATTGAACATGGCTCTCTTTGGTCTTGGTCAGTCCTCTCAACATGGGAATACTTGAGATACGTTGGGGTTGGCATGGGCACTTCACCTGTCATGGTAAATATTTGTTACTTAGATGCTGTATATACATCAGAATAAACTGTGCTTGCCGTTCAGAAGGCAAAAGAGGGTAAATTAGATTTTTTTAAAAAGATAGCAGAAGGAGATTATTTTGATAAGCTGGAATGAAGGTGTTTTCCTGGCATTTAAACATTTTTGTGTCCCAGCTGGTTTTCCCATAAAGTGCAAGATTATATGTACCTGAGTTTTATATAGACAGAAACAACTGCCTTCAACCTAGTGCAGAAATGATTTACTACTCCTTCTGTTGGTCTCAGAGGAGGAGATTGGTGTTTCTTAGAGCAGTGGTTCTCAACCTTTGGTCATCAAGATCTTATGAGCATTAACTCCTGTCACTCTGACCATTGAACATGTTGCCTGGGGCTCCTGAGAGTTCAGGTCCACAACATATGGAGTAACAAGAGTTAAAAGAAGCTCTTATCTTCCTCAGAGAAATACCAAGATACTAGTATTCTTAGGGAAGATATACTTTGGATTGCTTCTTGCCAGCCAACCAATGTTGAATGTTGTGTATGTGTTTTACAGTGTCCCATCTATACTGCGTAGCAACAGGTTTCGCAGAGATGCCAAAACCTTGGAGGATGATGAGGAAATGTGGTTCAATGAAGATGAGGAAGAGGAGGGGCAAGCCATAGAGAAATCCAAATCAGAGGATGATTTTCCAGAAAGTTACGAGAAATTCATGGAAACAAAAAAAGGTACCTTCCTCCATTTTTGCAGCATGTCATGAGTTTTCTGTGTGAAAAGTCTCAGGGCAGAATTTGGAGAACTAGTCTTGCCGAGGCCATTTCCTCTCCTCGGTGCATTCTGCCCCTGATCTCTCCCAGGTTGCCACTCTCCTTTCTGTTTCCCGAACCTGAAACTCTTCTACCACAACAGAGAAAGGAACGTTGCTACTTAACATGAAAACTTGTTCCTAGTGGCAGTCACAAACTCAGTCCTGGCTTGCCGGCTGCTGTACTGGTGACCTGAGTTCCAGAAGTGCTGACTAGAGGCTGCCAGCCAGAGCTAACTGCCTACTTAGAAGGCCTGACCTCATCATAATAAATGTAATGTGGTTTCTGGGGTTCACCATACCTGCATTACCACTGAATTAATTTTCTCCAGTTGAAGTGTCACTTGACTTAAGAGGGGTTAATTTGATATTTGTGTATATTTTTGGCTTCCATAGATACATTTTCTCATGGTTAACATTTCAAAATCCTTCCTCATCCCCCATTAGCAAAAGAGAGTGAAGACAAAGAAAACCTCCCCAAAAGGACTTCAGCAGGTGGCTTCAAATTCACTTTTTCCCATTCTGCCAGTGCAACTAATGGCGCCAATAGCACCAACAGTAAATCGGTGGCAGCTCAGACTTCACCAGCAACTTCAAATGGTTCCTCTTCCAAGAATGCCAATTTGACTGCCGCAGTCACAGCCGCAAAGGTGAGACATTTGTGGAAACGGTCTTACACAAAAATGCTAATGTCTGGTAAGAGCAGATTCTACTCAATATAAACATACTGTTATTATCTGCCAGGGCTGCTTCATCTCTTGCACATGGATATCTTAGCCTATGAATTACAACACCAGTATTTCTGCCTTCTGTACATTTTGTTATCAGTGTTTGCAGAAAGCTTTTTGGCATATTTGGAGTCTTCTGAGAGGGTGTTTTGTTTTGTTTCTGCCATAGTCACAAGAAGGCTGTCATGGATGGCCTGCCCATTCACAACAGAATGGCCGCCAGACTTAGAAGCCAAAGAGAGGAACCTAGACAGACAAGGGAGTGGGGGAGAGACCCAAAACTCAGGGCAAGTAGAGGAGAAACGTATGCATGTGAAGATACAGAGGAAATACAAAAACATTTCATAGCCGGAGAGGAAATGATTGCGCAGAAAGAAAATGGACACCTTCTGCTCTTTCCTTGCCCCCTCTTATAATTTCATCACTCCATTTTCCTCCATCCTCCCAGTACTTTCTTTCAGTCTGTCCCTAATTGCCCCTTTCTCACCTCTGATAGGGAGGGAGAAGCACAGGCACTCATGAGGAGTCTTTTATGAATGCCTTTGTGACCATTGTGTCGTGGATGGCGGCCTTAAATTCATTGAAATTTTTTTAAATAAACCTAAAAGCAGCTTGCAGTTGTCTTAGTTAATCCTACCAGGGGAATACATATATCATTTATAAGTCAGCTGCCTACATAATATTTGTATACAATAGTAAAAGAAGTGTTTTATATTAAACACGTATCAATCTAAAAATAATGTAAAATCCTTCCATTTTACCCCTTCTGGAAGATAGCAATGCCAGGCATTCTTCTACAGCGAGGGCTCATGCATTGGCCAGTGGAAGGCAGGTTGCAACAGTTGTTTATGCCCCAACATTCTTATTATATGTGAGCTTATTTCCTTTACATTGAACAGGGAAGTTTAGTTGGCCTTGTGGATTATCCAGATGATGAGGAAGAAGATGAAGAAGAGGAAACCTCTCCAAGAAAAAGACCTCGTCTTGGCTCTTAAAATTTTGAAACAAACTCCAATTGAGGGTGCTTAAATGCTGGGACTGAACTAGTCTGACTCGGAAAGCTTTCTTCCTGGAAAATACATGAGAATACAAGGAGTAGCAAAAGAAACTCAGCTAGAAGGATTTAGTTCTGCGAACACCCACTTCCAAAGAACGTCATTTCTTTCTAGTCAAAGAGTCTGCCGTTGAGGCTGTTAAATATTCAACGGGAATGGTGGGTTAGCGATCAGCACCCGGACGACAGCTTGCTGGCAGATGGATCATTTCCGGTTCTGTGAGGGGATGGGACGGGACAGGTGACAAGTTGTGTTATTGCAGAGTTCCCCCCAGTCTGTATCCAAGCTAGAAGGAAATTGTAAGGCTTCATTTGCAAATTTAGTCACATAACTTTGTAATGGTGCTGTCCATTGTGAGGTTTTTTTAGCAATTGCCTCTTTTAAATGATTATTTCTAGTTTCATTTTTTTTTAAAAAAATCTGACTTTGGGGGACCATTATTTGCACAATGAGCCAACTTATAGAGGGTAGCACCTTGATATATAGTGCATGTTCAGTGGTAAATTGGTTCCCCCCCCCAAAAAAAATCCATAGTTTGGAAGGAAAAGAGAAGCCGGGTTTAAAATGTAAGATGACTTGAAACAGCTGTTTAAGGAAACTGGTATCATATCAAGGGTCATAAGTTTTGAGTGGATGGAGAAATCAGGAAACCCTAGTACTCGAAATGTCATTTGAGTTGGAACTGCTAATGGCATTTTAAGGAAGCCAACCTGGAGTTGCTCCTGCTAGCTTCAAAAAGTACTCTCAAGCCATCTGCATTTCACATTTGCAGGAGTAAGAGCTATAGTAGAGTGAAATGATGTGTGAAGGTTTTGAACCCTACTATAAATTGAGGAGTATAATCATTTTCTTTCTTTTTATCTGTAGTAATTTGGAGTCAGATCAGCATGCAGCACATTGAACCTAGAGGGTTTAATGCTAAGGCTGCTTCTTAACACATTCCATGTATTTAAGCAAATTTCAAAAAAAAATACCTTGGATAAATTGATGGAGGCAACCATTTCAAGACCTTTTTTATTTTCAGAGCAAGTGAACTGTAAATATTTTAATGTTAGTTTGGCCATATATGATCTGAGATCATGTAGAAGAAAGAGTTCCCCAAACTACAAATTGTGTTAAGAGTGATATGAACAATGAAACCAGCAGCAATCCATTATGATAGATCACTCTTGCAATGTGTTATGGGTCCATTTCTCCTGACAGTTACTGACAGTTTTTCCCTGTTTTGGAGATTTTGTAGTTACTTTTGATTTTAGCTATTGTTTGCAAAAGATGGGCTGTCTGTGTAGATATATGAAGTATAGTTTTTCCATGAAACAGAAGTTTATTTTGTACTGAGAAGAAAAAAAACCACTGTACTTGTTTTACACCATTTGTATACATGTGGTAATATTAATGCTGAACTGTAAAATTCAGGAATTAAAATGTGACCCTGTAATTCCATAATTATTGGTTTTGTTTGGTTTGTTGTAAATGGTAAGTTAATTCTGATTTTGAAATGTGGCCATTTTAGAGGATTTTAATGAGATAGTTATTTGTACAATTTAATCATTATGTGCAACTGAATCAGATCTTGCAGACAAAGCAAAGGAGGTCCTGGGTTTGATTCAGTATGCTGTGATGACTGACAGTTTGTGGCCCGAAGAACATCTCTCTGCCTAGTGAGGGCTCCAGGCAACCAAAAATGGGGTTTGCTTCTCATTTCAACTAACCTTCTTGGTGAAAAAGTACATGGAGGAGCAATTTGGCAGGTTCAGCTGACTTGCTGGTGTAGGCTGACCCTCTTATGTTCGGTTTGTAGACTCCTGGCAAGTGTTCTCTCCAGTCACACACAGGTAACAATTTCCCCTAAAGCGCTACTATTTCCCCAAGGAAACAGAGTAGTTTCCAACTTATCTGGCCCATTCCCAAGCTTTTCAAGAATTCGCTGAATTCCTTTTTCACAGGATGTTATAGGAGCTATAAAATACCTGCCAATCCTCTCACTAATCACTTCTGTCACACATATAAACAAGTTTTATTTTAACAATCCAAAGCAGATAAGAGGTGACGTGTCAGCCAGTATCTGAACACTTAACAAAGCTGTGAAAGATGTATTTGAGCAATTCCCTTTCAAGTTACATACACTGTCTCAGGTGTATTGGTCCTCACTTCTGCCAATGTCATTTCCATTTGTATGAGGGTTGCTTTTACCACAGGACAGCCCCCATTGTGAATGCCTGGAGCCCTTCACTTTTTTTAAAGAAAATTATTACATCTGCCAACATGTCTCAGTTAAATACTATTTTAATAAAAAGTTACATTAAATCTGGATGGTCTCTGTCTTTACTGTCCTAAAATTTTGAAGGTAGTCTTATCTGCAGTTTGATGGAACTTGAAACAATTCTGATTTAAGGGTGAGGTATAGAAGTTTTGGAATAAGTACTAATTGAGCCAAGCAAAGTACAAAGGTACTATAGCAAGAACTGCTGGATAGCTCAGTGGTTTAGGCATCTGGCTGCAGAACCAGAGGTTGGGATTGATGCCACCTTGACAGGTCTGGACTCATGATTAGAGATGGTGATTCGTTTTGATCCATTATTCATCAAGGTTAACGAATACGAATATATGAATGTTCTTCTATAAATCAATCCGTCGATTCATCTGCACTTTAAATGGATATAACACTGCCCCCTGATGACCTAGAGGTACCACATTTGCAGGAAGCTTCCTAGGACGGTTTTCTACAGCCCCTGAAAGTTTAGTGAACATTGGATCATGGACCCCTGAGTTATATAGTCATAAGGAGGATCCCCCCCCCAGGTACTTAGAGACTCCAGACTCACAACACAACGCCTTGTGAGTCAGTGCTGCCAACATGTTCCGCCTAGAATCTGTGACCATGTGACCACAGGTCACCTCCCCCTCTGGTACCCACTCCTACAGTGCGGACAGGAACTCATCAGCAATGTTCCTCCCTGTCGCCTGAGCTTCCATGTGCCACGCCTGCAGCAGAAGAGACTGAGGAAATATTCATCAAGCCATAGTCATCCTGATTTAAAATTTTACAAATACAGATCGATAATTATATGATGAATCAGCTATATTAATCAGAAAAACTGATCGGTTTTTGTATTCGTCCCCATCTCTACTCATGATCTACAGGGTCCTTTTCAGCTCTGCAGTTCTAAAATGATTATGATTATTAATTTTATTATGCTGTAGTGTAGCAGGGCTGGACAACTTTGCTTTTTTTTCAGACTACAACTCCCATAACCCCTCACCATTGGCTATGTTGAGGGCTAATGGGAATTATAGGCCAAAATAACCTAGAGAAACAAAAGTTGGCTGCCCTGGCAGTATAGGCTCACTTAGACTATGTCATAATACGCCAGTCAGTATTTTAATTTCGGCCCGTATGTGACCTGTACAGCCTGTTACAGATGTGCATGGCAAAAACGTTCATTTTTTTTTGTGCACAGGACTTCTGTACAACACACAGGGGAACACCAGTCATCAAGTCTTCCTCTGTGCTGCACTGCTACACCAGAAAGCAAAGGCAAAGCAACAGCACATCAAGCAGGCAGCACAATTGGCTGATGAAGCGAAGACTGACCACAACTCCTTACTCAGTTACAACCAATCCAGGCCCTTTTACCAATCTGAAATTCCTGCTCTCCCCAGATGTTCTGATTGGCTGGCTGCTGACAGCAACCCTAACAATGCAATTGAGTCCCTTTATTGGGAAAAAGGTGCCCTATAAATAAGAAAAATTAATGGATGCTGGGTGATTGAGACAACAGGTGAAGGAAAAGTTTAATGAAAGAAACACAAAAAAACCTACACAATTTTGTGTGCCCTTTTCTTGAAACAAATCATGTGTGTTTAAGAGCTTCTCTTTCAGGAATTAATAAAGGAACCTGAGAGTGAAAGTAAGAGCCTCTCCTGATATTTTCCTTTTGTTTTTAACTAAGTAACTAAAATAGTTAATTTTGTTTAATTCTAGGCTGGTGTAGCAAGTGTTAAAGGCTGTCATGCGTAAAGCCAATTCACTAATTCTTTTAAAGGTGCATACATCACACACTGCAATAATGTGGCACTTCTTGTCTCCCATAATTTTCATTATATATGCAGTGGGGGAAAGCATGGTAGCTTTGCATTATGGCAGGATTCAAGTAGCCATGACATAGTAAATCAGTGTGTGCCTGTTTATGCTTGATTGATTTAGTTTACATCAGTTTAGCTCTCCCTGAAATTAGTGGGCAAAACAGTTGATCAAAACAGGCAGCTGTGTGAAATCGTGGTAACAAAGAGGTATCATATTCTCATCCAGAAATACACCATGGAAATGATATAAAACTGCTGAGTAATTAATGCTTTGGAGCAACCAATACTGTATTTTAGGAAAATCATTCTGTAATGAAGTTACTGTACTAATTTTTTTTTTAAAGCACAAGAAAAAGTTCACCATGCTTGTACTATATGAAATCAATTTAATGTATAAGATTGCTTGCAAGCAAAGAATTCAGTTCATGGTTAAATACTGTATATACTAAAAGTAATTCTTATTCCCAGCTCTTCTTAAAAGCAGTTTCTAAGCTATCGTTTATTAATGACTTCTTCTTTTAGTTTTGATGCAAGGATTCTCTTCTTTAACAACTTTTGTTCTTCCTCTTCTGTCATTCCCTAAAAATAAAAAGTAAAAAAACACAAAATTATAGCAACTATGTATACCTTTGGAGGACAAGATGTACAGCTTGTGAGTGCATGGCACCATGGGACTACCACAGCATCTGCCCTCTGTCGATCAGGATGCTGAGGTCCCAACCTTGGTCCCGAACCTTGAGCCTCCAGTTCTTGGACTACAATTCCCAGAAGCCCTCAACACCACCTCTACCACCGCCTCTGCTGGCCAGGATTTCTGGGAGTTGAAGTCCCAGAACATCTGGAGGCCCAGGTTGTGGACCACTGACCTAAACAAAAAGAAACAATCCCAGCCATCAAAAACTGAATTCACCTCTTTAGAAGGCAACTGCTCTTCCTTCTGTTCTGTAGTATTTTGTGGTGGCAGCGTACTGGCTTTTGACTCCTTTTTCAGGGCCATCAACGCATCTCGTTTCTGCTTTAGATAGTCTTCACGCTCCCTGAGCTCTTGTGCTCCAAGTTCTGATAATTTCTAGTAGAATTTAAAAGGCCATTTCACTACAGTTTGTGAAACACTTTTAAATCTATTAGACAAACATTCAAAGACATAAGGTACACTGTGTTCTTTTAAAAGCTGATGGTTTAACTGTAAACCTAAATTTAAACATCCCCAGCACCAAAAGGCCAAAGCAGAGGAGAAAAATGACAGAAACATTTGTTAAGATCATCCAGTCACAAGCATTAACTGACACCTGCCCTCAAGCCAGGTTCTTCTACCTGGGTTGCTGCTGTGGTCCTGGCAAGAAAATCTTTCCCAAAGCTTTTCCCCACCTCCCAATCCTGGAAATAGGTCCGAATGGCGGCCTTGGAGAGGAGATGGACAAAGAGGTAGACAAATGGAGATCCTCTGCCTCTGATTCCGTTTGAACTTAAAAAGGATTTGTGGGCAAAGGCTGTTCATTTTCTAAGGCAATCACTTCAAATAAGTGGGAGAAATAAACTATGAGTTGTAAATCTCAGTATTTTATGAATTACATCACATACCAGCCACAGATCTATTTTGCAGCACTGGGCTGCGCACACCCTGGTTCCAGATAAGGCACTGACAAAAACCAGACACTCCAGCAGGTGTACAATCCATCCACTGGAGGCAACAGCTCAACCTCACCTTCCTGACAAGTGCAGTTATTTGATAAGCATTCCCAGGACTATCCTTTATTTATAAGTACAGTGAGAACAAAGTACTTATGGTACTTATTTCCACCCTATACACTAACTCCCTCTTGTTGCTTAAATTCTACTTGTTTGCATATATTGAAATATATATCCTCTTGTTCATATCTACCTGCTCTTCTTTCAGTATCGTCACAGTTCCAACTACAGTAGTACCTCAGTTTACGAAGACCTTGGTTTATATAATTTTCGGTTTACGAATGGAAACCCATTGAAAATAATGCCTCGGGTTACATTTTTCCCTGGTTCTTTTCGGTTTACGAAGGAAGCTTCCCCAGGATGGATTGTGCCTAGAGTTTCTAGTGCCACCCCTGTTCCTATGGCAATCCAAGATGCATTGTGCCTAGAGTTTCTAGTGCCACCCGTTCCTATGGCAATCCACGTTTCGGTTTACGAATTTTCCGCATTACGTAACGTTCCGGAGAATGTATTAATTTTGTAAACTGAGGTCTGTTGTATCTGCTGGTCTGTCACTGTAACTCACCAGCCTCAGCACCTAACTGGATTATTCCATTATTACATTTACGCACTCTGTAAAAACTTCATTTCTGTTCCGATATTTAACTTATCAGGCACACTGACACCTTCTGTTATGTTCTTTCTTGTCTAGTTTGTAAGCCAGAAGTCATGGTCTTTATCTTATTTTCATTTTATATCCATAACATTTAGTTCTCAAAAGTAATGATATAATAGAAGTAGTATTTCTTACTAGTGTAGGAATAAGATTTCAAACCATACAGATGAAATATTACAAAGTAATCCAAAATTAAATATTAGTTACAAAAGTGATATTTGTCCAGATATTTTCTATATGAAGCCAGCAACTTACTCGTACTTCAATCCCGGGTTGTTTTGCTACATATTTGGAACAATTTCCAACCACCTTGCAACTATTTTCCTTCGCTTTTACAGAGCACAATTCTCGGGTAGATGGACCCTTGTGTTTTGCCTCTGGACCTAAATTTATATAAAGAGAAAAAAGAAACCAATATATTTTTGCTCGCTGTTAAGGTGAAAGAGCTAGAACCTTTATACTTTGAATGCTTTAATAAAAATTGTTGCAGGCCGCACAACAAACATTACACTTTAAGTCCATCATGTCAAGATCCAAAACCAAAACCTAACTCTCTTGCTACTGAATCACATCTACTAGGATTACAATTACAACGGTAAAGAAACATCAACTGCAACCTAAAATGAATAAATGTTGGTCTGTAAGACACTGTTTATAAAAGCACAGAATTCTGACACCAGCTCTCTATAAAAGCAGCAGGAAGGAGATACTTTTCAGATGCATTTTAGGAAAAAAATCAAACAGCAGTATTACCTAACATTTACCTCCCAAACTCCTATTTCTAGCCATGCTATGTCTCAGGCACGTATTAAGATGACAAAGTTTGGCAACTTAAACAGGACACCTAGCTAGATACTATAAGCGTTAACCTGTGATCTGTTTAGTAGTTTTCGCTTTGTTTCTCTCTCAGAAAAATATAAGGAAGATGGAACATTATATTGTGTTGCTTTGGGGAACGTATTCAAATCCTTTACTCATATGTGATTGATTTTCCTTCTCAGAAAAACAGGCATTCAAAACAAATTGGGACTTGAAGTATGTTATCTCCACAAACAGTATAGACACACTTTATCTACATGTGCAGAAAACAGCTTCCCTATTTCTTCTCCCACAGACACATTGTATAAATATATTTATTTGTTTGCTTGCTTATTGGATTTCTATCCTGCCCATCTAGACCAAATGTCTACTCTGGGCAGTTTAACAGATATAAAACCAATAAGCATATATTATAAATCCAAGGTGGATTTTCCTTCTCTTGGGAAAATTCAAAACTATCTAACCATGGGCAGCATGTTTAACCATTTAAAGATATCTCATTAATTTCTTGTGAAGTAACAAGTGGATTTCAATCCTGCCTGGGATCTGATGAATTACTATAGCAAATGGCCACCTTGTGCTTTTTCACAGTTCATGGGGACAAAACAAAGTTTGATGTCAGTTCAGCTAACATATATCAGAATAATCCCACAATTTGTGTCATGAAGAGGAACACACATGGCTGGGCCTTTTAAGGTATGCATGTCAGATGCTTATAAATACACTGATGCCCCGCATAGCAACAATACTCCATGCAGCAAAAACCGTCGCTATACGGATTCGTCGCTATGCGAAAAAAGCCCATAGGAATGCATTAAAACCCGTTTAATACGTTCCTATGGGCAAAAACTCACCGTTATGTGAAAATCCTCCATACGGCCACCATTTTCGCTGCCCGGTAAGCGAAGAATGGGCGCGAAAACACAGCGGGCGGCCATTTTTTTACCCGGTGGCCATTTTGGAACCGCTGATCAGCTATTCTAAAAACATCGCTATGCAAAAATCGGTAAGCGAAACAGCTTACCGATCATCGCAAAGCGATATTTTACCATTAAAAACATTGCAATGCGATCGCTTTTGCGATTGCAAAAAAATCGTCGCTATGCATATTCGTCGTTAAACAAAGCGCTCGTTAAGCGAGGCACCACTATAATCCTACCTGATGAAGTTTTTGTAGTCTGATCCACATATTCTTTAGTGTCAGTGCTTTCACGTAAATGTCTGGGAGATTTCCGGGCTCCTTCAGATGATGTCTGTTTATCGTGTGACTATCAATTTAAGAAAAAAATAGCATTCAGTAATACATTTAGGGAATTACAAAGCAACAGACACAGTGAAAGATGTATAAGTGTTTTTCTGGTCAAGATGTAATAAAAATGTGGACTTCCAGTTTGACGCTGCCACAAGACAGCAACAGGGAGATAGGAAAAGTTACAGAAAATTGAATGCAGACTTGCAAAGAATACCAAGGAGAGACAAGAGGGCCTTCTTAAATAAACAGTGCAAAGAAATAGAAGAAAAGAATAGAAAGGGAAAAACCAGAGATCTGTTCAAGAAAATTGGAGATATTAAAGGAACATTTTGTGCAAAGATGGACACGATAAAGGACGAAAATGGTAGGAACCTTACAGAAGCAGAAGACAACAAGAAGAGGTGGCAAGAATATGCACAGGAATTATACCAGAAAGATCTGGATGTCCTGGACAACCCAGAAAGTGTGTTGGCTGACTTTGAGTCAGACATCCAGGAGAGTGAAGTCAAGTGTGCCTTAGAAAGCATGGCTAACAACAAGGCCAGTGGAGGTGATGGCATTCCAGTCAAACTATTTAAAATCTTAAAAGAGGACACTGTTAAGGTGCTACACTCAATATGCCAGCAAGTTTGGAAAACTCAGATGGATACGAATTCCCAGTTCAGCCCAGTTCATTTGCCGGTCAAACAGCTGATCTGTAGTTTGGCTCCTCCAGTGGGTGCCCACTCAGACCCACCGGTTTGTGCCCTTCTCTAACATTAGTTAGCCTTTAAGATGCCAGAAGACTCTCTGTTGTATCGGAAAGAAGTAACAAGCAGCAGCAGAAACTAGGTAAGAATGTTTCCAATTTGGATAAGGTGTTTTCTCCTCCTCTTCACCTGGGCTAATTAATACGGTAAAGTCAACTAGTGTTTGAGTAAATGCCTTCCTCTGTGTGTCTGGATGTATAAATGTTTGCCTGCCTTAAGATACTTGAGATTAATGAAGACGTTTATTTTGGTCTGCATATATATTTTTGAAGCAACCCATGAGAACTTGGTGCACAACCAGAGGAAGATTAATTATCATCGAAAGCTCGCTGTTTGTTTTTTGATGGTCCAATAAAGATATCATCTATTCCCGCATTTGTGCTGCTCTGCTTGGCATCTGTCTATAAACATGTAGTTCCTTTTTAAGCTCCACATGTTAGATGTTTGAAAATAATCGTATCCGATGGTAGTTTTGTAATGTTAGCCTGGAGATTTGTGTGCTCCATCAGTTGATTTCTGTGAATGGTGTTGTGTAGGAATACCCACTTTTGCTCCTGGTTCTGCCTGTTACCCTAGTTCCCTTCCCTATGGGCTGCTGCTATGCCTTCTGCCCCACCTAACAGAAGTGGCACCAGCTGCCACTGCCTTCTGGGTTACATCGCTTTAGATTAAAGACCTGATGGCGGAGACTTAACAAGGGAGTATCTTGCTTTTATTAATCTGTAATCCTCTCTGGAAGCCCTTCCAACTGGTGGATACAAATCATTTGCATGAATAAAACTCCACCACACTATGCAACACTCATTTTCCAGCAAGGCTGCACCCCAATACTAGCCATTTTGGCCACTAGTACTTGTATATGAAGTGACTACTTTGTACTGTGATACTGTTATATCATGTCTGATCCTCTCTATTCTGGTGCCAATATACAGCCAGAGTGTCATCATGACCAAACTATGCAAAAAGAAAAAGAAGAAGAAACAACTGAGAGATGCAAAAATCAAAATAGTATTCCTGTTTGTTGTGAGAAGGTGTTCATCATTTTATTATGACAGCAAGGACTACTGAAAAACAGTTGTGTTCTAAGACAGAATTTAGACCTATAAAGCATCAGTGAATTTATTTGAAGCCAAACATACCTCTTGGCTTTGAGTTCTTTTCTTTTCTTGTTCTATATCATATTCTTCTTTAGATTTTCTGAAAAACAGAAAACAAGGCAGTGTGCTTGGATCTCTTCAGGGACTCACTGCGCACTAGCAATCAGCTTGTTCAACAAGCACAATGACTTCAAAACGGCACACGTCCCTGATAATCATGTTCCTCAGGCACCGTGTTGCAATTCTCTTCACCATGTCAGGGAAGGTCATGGAATATGACAGATGAGCCCTTTAAGTTCAAAGGAATGTTGATTTTTCTCTGGTGTGCCTATTAGCCAAATCCCTGGGAATGAAGTCAGAAGTCCATTCATCCTGAAAGGTGGCCTGCACTGGGACTGGAAATGAATTAGTCAAAACCCACACCATCTCTATGTTACATCAACTCCACACAATTATCAACAACTACCGTATTTTTACGTGTATAAAATGACACTTTTTCCTTAAATAATTTGAGAAAAAATTGAGGGTCGTTTTATACATGGAAGGCACTGCCTTTTGTGAAGGCACAGGGCTTAGCAGAAAGGAAGAGGAGGCATTGCTCCCTTCCTTTTTGCTAAACTCCATGCCTTCTCAAAAGGCAAGGGCATGCGGGGCTTAGCAAAAAATAAGGTGAGATGATGTTCTCTTCCTTTTTGCTAAGCTCCGTGCCTTCTCAAAAGGCAAGGAAAAGTGGTAGTCACTTTGACAGCCGCTTTCCTTGCCTTTTGCCAAGGCACAGGGCTTAACAAAAAGGGAGCCCTTTGATTCCTGCTTTTTCTAATTTGGGGTTAGAAAAGGGGGATAGTCTTATACATTGGGTCATCTTATACACGGAAACATACGGTATCTTGGGGTATTTACACAATGCCAACTAGAAAAATGCAGAACTTTTCTTATGAAAGGATGAGAAGGGTGAGTAAATAAATATGCAATTTTCATCCATTCCTAGGGACAGACCCAGAATTGCAAGCAGCCTGAGTACTATAGTTCTCACTCTCTTCTTGACTATTCAGGCACACATAGTAAACAAAAATCCAAAATAATTCCATTATTATTTTTAAAAATTACCTATGCAACCTCCATGTAGGTGTACTGGAGGCAATTTACAGTATATTATGAGCAAAAGGAAATAATTTGGGTCCATTCTAAATACAGTGGTGCCTCGCAAGACAAATGCCTCGCAGGACAAAAAACTCTCAAGATAAATGGTTTTGGCAATGGGGTTGATGACTCGCGAGACAAATGTTCCTATGGCCATGCTTAGCAAGAAGAATGTTTTCCGTTTTCTGTTCCTGCCTCATGTTTGCTGATTTTTAAATGTTTTTCTATGATGTTTAAAAAGTTAAAGCTTTTTGATTGAAATTTTTTAAAGCATCTGCACAATGTGTATGGCTTTAAAGAGCACTCAATAAACCCTTTGTAAACCAAATTTGACTTTGTTCTGACTCTTTTTGCCCATAGGAACACATTAATTAGATTTCAATGCATTCCTATGGGAAAATGCGTTTCGCAAGACAAATTTTTCATCAAGACAACATTAACTGTGGAATGAATTAAATTCATCTTGCGAGGCACCACTGTATATTAGAGACATTTTCTTTGACAATCTTTCTCCGTTCTACACATGGGAGCAGCGTAATTGGCAAAATGAATGTAGATTTCGAATCAAAACCTATGCAGTTTACTTAAAAGTAAGAACTCTCTGCAACTTCCTCAAGTACATACATGTGCATACAACAACCAGAAATGTATCCCCAAAATCTCTCAGTAATACACCAGCACAATGCTCCCCCCCCAAAAAAAACTGCAAGTTTGCTCACATGAGAAATACATTACACATGAATTCTGGAGAGTTAATTAATTAAAGAAACATTTAATCACTTTACTATAATACTGCCATGTCCTGGGGCTTTCATTAATAATTTTTCTACTCTAAGCCTGAGGAAGTGAATTTTACTCATGAACGCTTGTGTTTAATGCTTAATTTTTGGTATTCTAAATAAAGATATAGCCTCTTCTACTTTTGGGTTGCATAAAGGACCACGTGGCTACGTCTACTGTTTTCTTGAATACAAGAAGATTTTAAAAAACATTCACCACAAATTCAGCCAAGCAGAAAACCCATTATGTACGGAATCAAGTATTTTACACTGGATCCAGAAAAGCACTAGCAGGAGGAAGCAGAAGATGTGTGTGACATAATCTCACTCTCTCTTTTATGGAAAGACCTCCCAAAAATCTTCTCCAGAAGATTAATGGGCCTATCTGAATGAGGTAGGCTCTATTACACAGATCTACTGTCTTCACACAATTTTTGATCCCCATCCTTTGTGCCATAATACACCTTATTCACAAGGTTCCCCTGAAACACAAGAAAGGGTTTTAAGGTTTTAATCTGAGGAGGAGAAAGGCAGAAATCAACCTTTTATCTTCTACCTTTCATCAGTATTTCTCTGGATTTAAGCCTATACACTGAGCGTTACATAGTAAAACCAAAGCATTGTAACGGTGGTTTCTGAATGCCTCTTCTACAAAGGTAAAGCACAAGATCTGTTAGCACTATGCTCTTTTTTTAAAAAAACTATGACACCTCAGTTAGTGCAATAGAAGACAACCTCTTCCCAAGCACTGGGGGCTACAAAGCATCTTTCTGGGAAAGAGACACATCCTTCTTATTCTACAGTTCCATTCAAGCCTAATTTTGGGGAGAAACAGCTTGTATCTCATAATGTTACAGCACCATCCATCCATCCATCCATCCACCCACCCACCCATCCATCCATCCATTCACTGCATTTGTATCCTGTCCATCTAGTGATAGAGCATTACCCTGGATGCCTAATAGTGATAAATAATAACAACCCACCCACTAGCATATATTCCCAGTTATAAAACCAACAAAAAGGCACTAAAGGCAATGGCAAACAAAACTCATGTAAAAACAAATGGGTCTGTGAAAATATTAAAGGAGGGAGATGTTACCAAAAGCTCAATTTTCACCTATTTCTTGAAGGTCAGAAGGGAAGAGGCCTGGTGAACATCCATTCCATAGCAGTGCTGCCACCACTGAGGAAGTCTGGTTCTTTGTGGTAGCTTTCCAGAAATCTCTGGGGTGCAAAAGCGAAGCCTGGATAGATTGGATTCCCTAGATGGAACGTCTCTCCCTAAAATAATCTAACAGGTTATGAGAGGGGCTTCACAAAACCAACCAAGTATTTTGGTAATATCATTCAAGCATTGTGCCAAATCTCTACCATCAAACAACAATGTGCATTTATGGAAGACACCGTAGCAAAACCCAGACAAAAAATCAAAAAGAAAATGTATTTTTACCTAAGAACCTCCCTTAATATTTTCATTTCTTCCTCTTCAATTTCAGTGTATGCATCAAACCCGTCTTGCAAACAGTCAGGTAACACACCTATTTAAGAAAAAGAAAAGAAAGAAAAACACAAAGTGCAGTAAAGGATGAAATATTGCCTTTTGCAGATTACATTCTTTCTTTGATATCATTTTTAAAATCAAACATGAACCAAAACAGACAGAAAATCCTGAGAATACCGTCTCCCCAAAAATATGACCTAACCTGAAAATAAGCCCTAGCATAATTTTTCAGGATGCTGGTAATATAAGCCCTACCCCAAAAATAAGCCCCAGTTAAGTAAAATCCCACCCTCCACCATTGTGCAGCAACCAAAAGAAGACGACATGAGTGTACTTGAATAAATGTAGATTCAAATACATGGAAAAAAAATAAAACATCCCCTGAAAATAAGCCCTAATGTGTTTTCTGGAGCAAAAATGAATATAAGACCCTGTCTTATTTTCGGGTAAAAACAGTACATTTTGACTCATTCCACAGGATTGCCACAGGTCTTTTCTGAATTTGTGAGAAATCTAAAGATGTTCTGCTGGCAGAAATCTTGGTAAGCAAATTCAGAAGCAGAACATTTGAAAACTCAGATATCCATAGCTGGTTTTATAATTGGCATAAAAGAGAAACAGATCACATGGAGTAATATACTTTGCTACTTTCAAAGCTCTTCTCCTGTTCACCTTTTTCCTGTTTCTCATTTCGAAATGGCTACAAATGCAGCTCCTTTAGAAATAAAGGAGAGAGCTAACCATCGTTGTTCGTTCACGTTCATGAACTAACTCCCTCCTGCAATTCATCTGGTCCCTTTGCTGGTGATTTTTAAAAAGTCATAAAAAACCTTATTATTTAGGCAGGCATTCCAAAACATTATACCTGCGGATTCAGCTGAGCTTAGCCTACTTGAACAACTCTGCCATTTAACAACTCAAGAGAGATTAGCTGACCAATTTACTAGCCAGTAAACAGACACAATCTTTCAACAATTTTCTTCCTCTTCTGGCTTTTTGCTGCCTTCTCAACTTGTCATTAACTGTCTTTTCTGCTCATCTGGTCTTATGTATCTGCCTCTTTCATGCCACTTTTTCTTTTACCTCTCCTGCCTCTTTCTTCTTGGCTTCTCCTCATCCAGCCCAGTGAAGATGCACATCCCGGAAAAGTTGCAAGCCAAGCCTTTTCACAATGAATGAACACATGAGAAGACAATCTTCTCATTGAGCTTCTCTTACCGTTTTGCTCCTGAATTATTCTAATAGCTTGTAACTGCATTTCAATGTTTTTCTGGACCATCATCTTTTTGAACAATCCAAAATCTTCCGCTGCCAATACTGGCTGCAAAATGGCCTGGATGGGGAAAGTGTTTAAATCTGACAATGCCAACAAAATTCACTGTTCAACTGATTCAAAATAAGTTATTATGAAAAATGTAAGTAAAGTTATTGCAGATTAAAAACCAAGACACATCTAGCATTAACGTTACAATCCTATAGTGGTGCCTCGCTTAACGGGTGTCCTGTTTAGCGACGAAACCGCTTAGCAATGAAGATTTTGTGATCACAAAAGCGATCACATTGCGATGTTCCCTATAGGGAAAAATTGCTTTGCGATGATTGGTTCACTGTTTCGCTTACTGATCATCGCATGGCGATGATTTTCCAACAGCTGATTGGTGGTTCCAAAATGGCCGCTGGGAAAAAATAGCCGCCCGCTGTGTTTAGGGACGGATTCCTCACTTACTGGGCAGCGAAAATGGCCGCCGTATGGAGGATCTTCGCTTAAAGGTCAGTCTTTAGCCCATAGGAATGTATTGAAGGGGTTTCAATGCATTCCTATGGGCTATTTAAAATCGCATAGCAACGAAATCACTTTGCAGCTATTTTTGCTGCACGGATTAACGTCGCTATGCGAGGCACCACTGTAATCACCTACCTGGGAAAAAGTAGCACTAAATACTGAATAGATATGCATATAATTGTTCCATAAGTGAACAAGCTATTCCTGCCAGTTACATCTTATTCAACTAGGCAAAACATTTTATGGGCAGATCTGCAGGAATCTTTATTAACAGAGTGTAACCATGATAAACATTAAACAGTGTGTTTAACAGTAATAAACGTAACACACACATGCATGACTGTGCATGCACACACGCTATTCTCTGCACCTCACTAGCCCATTAGCAAAAGAATAAAATAGGTATAAAAACCAAATGTTATGTTATAAAATAAAGCAATCTTCTAAGAATAAGCAGCTGGGGCACAGACACTAGCCAGACAGTAACTAGGGTAAACCTGGAAATAAAACTTGTTAACAGCAAAATATTCCCCTAAATAAAGACTCCAAAATAGTGTTAATCTGTTGCCTGAAAGATCCCAAAAGTCTGAAGCAAAACGGTTCATGATTATATTACATACATAACAATATAATGAAAGAAGGAAGTCCAGAACTTGTATTCTAAATTAATTAAGAGAAGATTTACCTGAGAGGTATGAGTCTTGGCAAGTAGTGACGTACAAGCTTCCTGGAATTTGTCTTCATTAATTTCAACTTCTTTAAGGTAACTGTCTAAGAGCCTTTCAACCTGCAAAATAATTATCAAAAAAAGAATATTTGATAAAGAAGCTTATATCAATTTTTGCTTTTTTGATGGTAGCATGAGAGCAAGATATGAATTTTCAGATAAAGTCAGTCATGTTTTCTTCTCACATACAATATACAGAAATCACAGTCACAACGTTTTTATGTTTATAACTATGTATGTTAGTTGACTTGCCTTGGTGCTGCCCTTTCACTCTGCTTCTCAGTAACAACAAAAATAATGCTCTTATTTATACAGCAACATTGCAACCTGTGGGCTATGTTTAGACTTTCGAAGATTTTCTACCAAGGACCTACAGTATCTGTAGGAAGTCAAGATGTTCAGTACTAAAGGACAATGAAAATCTTACTGCTGAAAAAAGACTCATTGTTAGAGCTAGTTAACAGTTCTTCTGCAATGACTCATTAGTCAACTAACATTTCAAAGTGCAACAATTTATAAAATGCCAAAACAGATATACAAAGCATTTCCAGTTCATCAGAGTGATTTTTTAAAGGTCAGCAAACAATAAATAATTATTACTCACTCACCAAAGCTTTATATTCTTGATGAATCTCAGTGTATGACAATTTGCTTTCTTCTTCATCATCAAAAACTGAAAAGACAATGTGATTTCCAATCAGTTTCTAAAATATTCTGCATATATAAGGAACTTCAAATTATATTCCTAGTATGGTGAAATTTAATTAAACTAAGAAAGCCATATCTGAAAATTACTTTAGCTCAATATATAAGTATTTCCTAAACTGCACGTAATTTGATCTTTATTTTCTGATGTTTTACAACTTCCACAATTTCACTGGATACCCAACTTGCTTTGTTCAATACTTGCCAAACACCTTTACCCCCAATCATCTTGGCCCAGTTCTTCAACCAGTTCTTCCCTACTCATGTCTAGCCTGAGCATCCTCAGGCGATGAGACTCACAACTCAACTTGACTCTACTTGGCTGTTTATAGGAGGGAAGGGGAACTTCCACGCAGGAACCTGTTCCCCTGGCATGGCCCACACACTTTCAGAAAACCCTGTCTGGTTTCCACTGCTTTCTGACATTCTGAGGTGGGCAGAAACCTGACTCTTATCTCCAATTTTTATCAGTAATTTGGAGGAAAACAAAACCTGAAATCAAACAGCATCAAAAGGCAGAATTTCGGGATGGAGACAGGAATCTAGTCTGCTGGGTCAAAAAAATTCTCACAGTAAAATGTCATAAACAACTTTCTGCACACAGATTCCAAAAATACACGCAAACATGTTTCAGATATTCACAGAACTGTCGTTAGTTTCACTTTGTATGTATGTATGTATGTATGTATGTATGTATGTATGTATGTATGTATGTATGTATGTATGTATGTATGTATGTATGTATGTATGTATGTATGTATGTATGTATGTATGTATGTATGTATGT